GAATCTTCATTGGTACTAGGTGAGCGACAAGGTAAACCACATGTACCAATGAGAGTTGACAATAATTGCTCGAGTATATTTGCTTTATCCCTCAAGTTAGACATCTCACACCTAAGTTAGGTTATCTCATCATTAAGTCAGGTTGTCTAAGCTTTAATTTATTCTCGTACAATTGCTTGGACAACTGGAGATTGTTGGCTCAAATTTGTTTGTGAGGAACCAATTGTCAATGCAGTTTGGCCTATCTGTATATCCTTAGCTGTAGTGTTTGAGATATTATAAACCTGATTTCTATCGAGTTCATCAGAAAATTTAGCCTCTAATAATAAATTCAGATTGAATTCTTGATTGGTCGAAAAATTCTCCTTATATCTCTCATGCAATCAAGTGTTGTATATTTCTTGAAAATAATAATAATCATCATCATCTTATCATCTATTTTGCATGTTAAATGAATAGAATGGATCCACCAATATACATGGTAATCGAACCATGAATCTCTTTATTTTAGTTCTCTGCACCAGACTGTGGCCATCACATTAAATGTTCAAACTTTATGTGCTGGATATAAGTGTCCTAGATAGCCTTTAAGATGTGTGAAGGTTTGAAATCTCACTATATGACAACGTCTTCCCGGCCTGGAAACCTCTTTCTTTTGCATATTTCTTTATTTTTTTTTTACTTCTCATACCAAAAATCAAGCAACTTAGTAAATAGAAATAAATTATTTGTTAAAAAGAAAAAAAAAATAAAATTTGAACATTTAAAAAAATATAACATTGTGAATTCAATCATATCTAATAACATTGTGATTCTTTCATCACAATAACATTATCAGTCTCTTCCCAATAAATTTTTTCATTGCAAGTCCATTTTATAAAATAATTAGTTTATTAAAATTGAAAAACCAACTAAATTAAATAATAATAAAATATTTATGTATATATTAACTTTAAACTTTGCGAACTAAGCATCAATCATAAGCCTCCATTCAAGATATTTGGAAACCTAACTCTACTAAAACAATAACACTTCCACCGATTATTTCATTGTTAATGTTATTGTGAGAGTAACATTAACATTTGTAAACCTTAAATTTCATTCATTCATTGAAATTAATTCTTCAAAAATTATCTATAATTGTTTATCTTTTAATCGCGCAGAAAAAGAAAACAAACTTACATGTTGTGATTGAACTTTTGTCAAGCAATTTACTTTTCAATGTACATATCCTGCTCAGAAAGAACACCTCTCTACGAGGCGGCCTCACACTCGATGAGACTGTGTTGAGAGATGGTGCTTGTGCCTCGGGTGCCTAATCATGGTTAGCACTTAGTGACTTATGGTAATCAAAAGCGCTGCCAGAAAAACTAGCAATGCTCCTATCAAAGCATGCTAATTTTTCATGAGTGCTCCAATAAAAAAACCATCTTATATAACAAATAATTGATTGTCCAAATCAAAACTGCTTTCATCTGAAAATTTTGTTCGCTCGAGACATTATACGTCAAAGTCTCGGATGATCACAATTGATTCAACTTATCAATCAATGATTAAAGACAAACATCTATATTCCTACCTAGACTATTAGGAATGAGTATGATTGTAGGTAAAAACATGAACTCAAGACTCATGCACATCTATGATGGCAAGTTGTAAACCATGAGTTTCATTGACCGATAAGAATAAGTTATATAAAATAACCCAAATGGATTGAATATGTTTGTACATAACCTAAGATGTATATTTTGTGGTTTCATTGAAAATTAAGGATGGACCCTACTAAACTATGATGCAGGTAGAAGCTAAAGACAAAAAGAAAAAAGAAAGAACACATGAATTTTAATGAGTGAAAAGGGCTGCCGATGTGAACCACAAGTTCACACATTTTATTTTCTCTAGAATAATAATCCTTATGGAGGTTTACAAATTTTTAAATAGACCAGAAACCCTATTTCAACTAGGAAACAAAAGAAAAATTCAAAATTATAAAGGAAAGAAGCATGAAATCCAAAAATAACAAGGAAAATCGCAAAGATTGTTAAAACCAGGTCCCAAAGAGAGATTTTGAAAATTAAAAGATCCAATGATTATAATAGCAATTTTATCACAATTTTTAGGAAAACAACATCTAAAAACTTCTGTAAATATTTTAGCACGATCCAACAGTTAAATAAAAAATTATAGCCTTTTTAAGCTCTTATTCTAGTCTACCACAACCAAATCTCCTCTTGGGTCTAGACTTGTCTCACTAGTCCATAAATATATTTGCTAGGCTATTCACTTAATCTTTCTAAGGCATATTCTCATCTAGTTATAGCAAACTCACACTTGATTGTTTAAAATCACCAGTTATTGCAAGCCCAACTACATCAAATTACTTCTAGGCTTCACCATCGGAAGGATGTACCATGACTCCATTGCATCATGTGATTGATGCCATGTCATATGCTTAACATTCTTTAGAAACAGGAATAACTTATGTAGTCTATGAGTGATTGGGAAATATCTCAATTTTCCATATGAAATAAGAGTCTTTTCCCTACTAGTTTTAGGTTTATACCAAACATGCTTATATGTTCTACACTCAGTCAAATATGTATTTTCAAGATAGTACAACATGCAAAATTTTAGAAACATGTCAATTTTATGGTATCCTAGGCTAGGATGTTTCATTATGCATATAGTAATATAAAAATTCTCTTTCAACCTATTCTTTTTAAGTAAAATATTTCTCGTTTATTCAATGATTTTGCATAAATAGCCTCACTCAATCCATGATCTGACTTAATTGTAAATAGTTGTACAATGATCGATAATTTATTGTGATTTGTGCACCTATTCCATAATAGTTCGTTGGAATTTTTCAAAAGATTAAAAAACTTGGTTGTATCTTTATGTGGTTTTTTTTTTTATATATATATCTATGATTGAACGTTTATTTGCATAACTCTAACTTATTCACATTTATGTGGTTTTTTTTATATATATATATATCTATGATTGAACATTTATTTGCATAACTCTAACTTATTCACATTGCGTCCATAAATATTCTTTATGTCCAAATCGATTCAAGTATTTTTTTTATAAATATTTTTTTATAAAAAATATATTTAACAATATCCAAATTGAAATTTTTTTTATTTTTATATCTCTTCATATAAATAAATATGTTAAAATATATGAAATTAATTACTCATAACATGTCCATTAAATATACGAGTGCCATCTTTACCGTGGGATCCTTTTCTATACATTGTGTTTTAAGGCTACTAAGAAACCCTATGAATCCTAAATCAGAAATAATAAAAAAGAAGAAGAAAGAGAGAGTCATATCCCATAAGAAGAGAATAATACTTTCCATTATTGCTAGTAGGAGGGGTGCAAATGCTCAGGAGCGAATCTTGATACAAATTCCCGAACTTTTTCTATCATCGTTAAACCCATTTAATTGCTCACAATAAACTGCGCATCAACATTTTGATGGGTTTATTTTCCCATGAAATTTAGGTTGAACATTAGAGCATTGGAATTTAGCTGGACCCTCACTTCCGGTGTATTTGAGGTCAATATCAGCAACCTCCACTTCGTCGCATGGGATGTCCTTGCTACAGGAAAGCTGAACAGCCACGGGAGTCCTAGATGTGCCTCTTATATTCTTGAAGCTCACATTCTTGATGCTTACTTTTGATGCAGACTGTAAGTAAGAAATGAAAAACCATATATGATGAGATTCTATTAGTATCCTTAGTTTTGAGAGATTTCTTTCTTAATTTCTTTCTTTCTGTAATTAACAAATTAATCCGTACCTTTCTATTGCATTCATTCCATGGACAGTATACTTGATCTATGACAATAGGATTGCTGACGTTCTTCATGATAATATCTTCGAAATGTATATCAGACGCTGAGCCACCAAATAACGCAGGCCAAGATTTAATTCTTACACCATTTTGGGTATTGGAGATGGTGCAGTTCTTAACAAATATTCCAGACACAGATTCTTCATTCTGGGATTTCCCTAAACTTCCAATGCTGATGCCGTGACCTGGTGCGCATGTTACTCCTTCGATTGTAATTTGTCTACTACCATGGCCGAGGGAGATACAATCATCTCCCGTTCCAATGTCTGAATCGATAATCTTGATGTCTTTTGATCGTCCAATATGGATTCCATCTGTGTTCAGGCTCTCATCATGTGCAGTGATTGTAAAATGCTGGAAAGTGAGGTTTTTGCACCCCAAGAGATGAGCATGAAAGTACTTGCTGTCCGTGGATGTTATATCGTGGACTATTCCGTTGGTGATGAAATTGAACTTCAAACTCTGGTCGATCAAGCAAACAAAAACAACTCAAAATTAAGAAATTTAATTTTTCATTTCGATCATTTACTAATCACCATAAGATAAAAGAAATTAAACTTACGACGGGGGGTAGCTTGCAATGTTTATCCTTTCCACAATTGTTTTGATTCGATGCCGATTTTCCTTGGCCATCAAAAGTTCCACCACCAGTCAAAGTAAACTGATCAACATAGTTGAGAGTAATCCAGCTGCTAAACCCTTCGAATTCTCTCATGTCTACCGGCGCCTGTAATTTGCCTTTAACTTGAAGCTCAATTGCTGCCTTGCAAGGCCCTGATATAATCACTGGGCCTAGCAAGTATGTCCCTCGCGGAATCAAGACTTTACTCGGACTTGTTGATGCACAAGCATCTTCCCATGCACTTTTGAAGGCCTGAGGAGGATAAAAGAAAATGCAAAATATCTCAACCAAGACAATCGGGTAAATTAAACATTGTATTGCTAAATACTTACCTTGCTAATATCTTCCTCGTCACCATATTTTGTCACATCGAAGACAACATTTTCGGCTTTAACATCAGTAGATGACAAGAATAGCAACAAAAAGATTGCCGAGACATTAACTTTCAAGCCCATTTTTCCTTGGGACTTCAATTTCTTCCACCTCCTTTTGTATTCTGCAAATTTGTTTGGATCGAAAATGAAATGATTACAATATTCTATGAAGCTATTTATAGAGCATTGAGGAAAACAAACACCAATCATAATTTTTCCGGCAACGAATTCATATGGTTTCTATTATTAGATTTCTCTCAACTGCAAAACTCACACAGCTTGGCAAACTAACTCATACGAGCATTCCTTTTTATTTTTAGAATAGGGCAGGAAAATCTTATGTTACTTATTACAGGGAAACAAAGTGACAGTAGCTTGGAAAAAAAAAAAAACTAAGACTTATTACAGGGAAACAAAGTGACAGTAGAGTTTTCTAAGAAAAACTTGTAACCAATTGTTGTTGCATCATGTTCTCTGCCATTAAATTCATCAATTACATCGAAGCTCTCCCTCTTCAATACTTTATAGCCAGACCTCGATATTTAGTACGTATATAGAGATTGGTTACACCTGGGTTGTCTGTGCATGGTTGGTAACTGGAGTATGAAAACAGAAACTGTGGCCGGTACGAAAATTAAAAAAAAAAACGTTAGAATGAGCTGTGAAAGATCATGAGGATACAAATACCATACTTAGAAGATGCGAATCGATTTTACACCTTAATTCTAGCATAGCATTAAGAACCTAGATACTACAACACTGTACTGTAAAATCAATCCTATGTATCAATGAAAAGCAAGGCTTTATACATGTGTTTAACACAAATGTTTGTTAGGTTTAGTTTTTGTGACTCCATCAAGCTATTTTTGGAAATTAGATAATGTGAAATTTATATAGCATAAATATGAAGGCAATGACACCAAAAGTTTAAGCAAAAGTTAAACTGCATACAGCCCAACAGCCTATGCAATCTTTGGTCTTTTGGGGAAAGAAATTTGTGTGAGACTTCCAATCTTAATTAACAGCACTAGTTTTTGTTTGTTTCATGAGGAGGTTCTTCGAATTTGGATCTTCACTGCAACTCAGGCTTAGCTCTCTTCTTTTCTTATTTCTTCTCCTTTATAATACGAGAGTGAAATCCCGCATCAAATCGAATTTGTTTGTTAAGGGATTTCTTTTTAAATAAACTGGACAGCAATGCTGGCATATATGTCCTTTGGAAATGGCACAAATTTTCATACTTTTTGTTGCATATAACCACATTCGCATTTGGAGAATATTTTTGTATTAGTTATTTTATAAAGAAGAAGTTTGAATCGGAGATCTTTAGAGGAAAACATGGGTGTTCATTGAGGTATAAATCTATTAATTATTATGATAATAACACGTTGCATGTTTGAAGGTTGCATATACAGATAAACACCCTTACTTTTTCCCTTGAATCTATATATTAACGTTGAAACCACGTAATCCATCATTATTTATTTTTGCTAGTTTGCTTTTCTAGGCCATGTTTGTTTTTTAAAAAATCTAGTTTTTCTAGGCCATGTTTGTTTTTTAAAAAATAATTTTTGAAAAATAATTTTTTAAATTTTTTTGTATTTATTTGTTATTAGAAAAGTTGGTTAATTAAAAATACTTTCCGGTCAATGAAAAATATTTTTCAGTTAACGAAAAACACTTTCTGATCAACAGAAAACACTTTTCAGTTAAAAAAAATTTGGCTTGGTTTTCAGGAAAGTGTTTTTCTTTTTTATTGTGTTTGTTTTCCAGAAAGTGGTTTCGAGAAATCACTTTCCAAACTTTCTTGTATTTATTTGCTGTTAGGAAAATTGATCAACGGAAAACACTTTTCAGTCAAAGGAAAATTTGACTTGGTTTTCAGGAAAGTGTTTTCCTAAAAAATTTGAAGGGAAAACACTTTATGGAAGTTGTGAAAAATTTAGAAATGTTATTTTTTACTGATTATATTAAATTTGATCTTAATTCATTTTTCCTAGAACTCACTTTCCAAAAGGAAATAACTTTCCTACAAACAAACGGAGCCTTACACTACTTTATATGTTATAAATAATTTTTTTCTACGCTACTTTATATGTTATAAATAATTTTTTTCTAATCTAAAAAAATTTATTCGAGTCAATAAAAAAAACTATTTGATATTATTATTAAATATAATTTAACAAGTTAATATTAACCTTACTTCTTAATTAGTTTAAAAAGAATTGGATCGTATAGAGTGGTTAAGTTAGGAGGATTGCCTCCCTTTCACTGCACGGCTATGCAATTTTTGTTCTTCCTCCTTTAATTTGAACAAAATTTTATCTTCCCTTTATTGGCCATTTACGCTCTTTCTTTTCTTCATGGCAGAATATAATAGTCATGGTTTCTAAGAGATATTTTAAGGAGAAGCATGTTCAGATAGAAGAGCTTCCATTCTAGTTGGACGACATTTGTATGGCTCATAATTTGAAAGTAGGTGATTTATCTGTGTCTTTCAGTTGATTAAGGCAATTGAACTTATGTTGAAATTTGTTGTTATCCTAGCCGAAGATTATTTTACTTCTCTATTCAGAATAAGACTCCAGATATTGATTTTGATGTTGTTTATGTTCTTGACATTCATATTGACTGTTGCTTTTGCCAATGGGCATCCAATTTTTAATAGTAGAACCATGCTTAAAAAGTACTGGCTAGGAAAAGGGTTTCCACTGATGTGTTGATCAGTTTATGTTTGTTACACTAATGATTTTCAAAATTCTATTTTGTTCAGTGTATAGAAAAAATCCCCTTTTATTTTATTAGATTTTTAAGGATTGCTGTCGTTGATATTCACTAGCTAATGAAAGGGCTTCCATTGTTACGATCAGTTTTGTATTGTTGTCATCATCATTATTGTTCACAGTGGAAGTTTTCGATGGTATTTAAATTCTCGCTGTGCAGACTGGCAAAATATTTCATTACAAAACATCTAAGCGAAATAGAATGTGGCCTGTGGAGGTACTGAGCCTTGATATTCGCAAAGATATGTACTGGATTTGATGGTCTCTTGATGTTGGAGCTGATTGTTTGTTCGTGATGATTACATGGGACCCCTTAAGCTGCTAATGCTCCATTTTCAGACAACACTTTGTCTGTCCATTCACATTAATATAATTTATTGTCTTTTGGGGATCACTTTTGCAGAAATATTTGGACAGTTACGTTAGATTGCCAGATGCTGAAATCTCATCTTCCTTTTCTCTGCCTCGATGGTATATAAGAATTTAGAGGTAAGCTCTTTTTGACTGAAAACGAGCTCACTTTTTGGGACAACATTACCTGGCCATGTTTCATTTTGACAGTCAAAAAAGTCTGAAAGGTTGTGGCTTGGCTGCATTTGTGCCTGAGACAGTGCAATTTTGCTTGGGATTTTACACGCACCCTTAAATCTACTGCATTTGAACATTTGGATCTTCAACGGGGATTGCATTTAGATCAGATCCAGCAACATACATGCAAGAAAAGCCCATCAACTACCATAGAACCATGCATTAAACTGGTGGGAACCAATGTACGCTGTGCTTAATTAAGTGAAGAGGCATACAAAGATCACAAATTCTGAGGGATGGACCTTTCTTGATCACAAAATGTCTTAGAAGATAGATTCACGACTCTATTGAAGATACTCTTATCTCTTTCCCTTCTTGTACATACCTGTCATTCTTCCTTGTTCTTCTTCCCTTTCCTTCCCAGTATATAAAGAACGTGTTATACAACATCTCCTAAATAAGGCCTAACGAAAACTATTCGGAGAATAATGAAATACAATTGACAGAGCTCTCAAAACACTCCCACACATACAAAAACTCAGTTTTAGCACTACACACGAGCCTTTCTGTTCCTTTTCTCTTGCTTTGAAGAAACTACCTTAATTTGTTGCCTCTGAGAAAACATGGCTTCTCGTAGCAAGAGAGACAACAATGGATCATTGTTCACACAAAAAAAACCACATTTTATCCGTATCGTTCTTAGTGATATTATGAAGAATCAGAAGAATACCTTAATTTGTTGCATCTGAGAAAACATGGCTTCTTGTAGCAAGAGAGGCAACAATGGATCATTGTTCACACCCAAAAAAACACATTTTATCCGTATCATTCTTAGTGATATTATGAAGAATCAGAAGATCGTAAGCATTCTTTTCCTTCTAATCTATAAACTTTCCTTCTGTTTCTTGTTGTTCTTCAACTTGTTTTTTGTTGAAGTACTAGTCAGTGCGCAAGTGAAGCTAACTTCAAAAAACCCTCCTCCTTTCTTTTTTGTTGTGTTATTTACAGGCGATTCTTCGAAGATTTTTTAGAAAGCATGGAGAAAGTTTATCAAAATCAGCAGTAATTAAAGCTCCAAGTGCTGCAACATGGAAGGTAGCTTTATTAAAACATAAAGATGAAGTTTCATTTGCAAAGGGTTGGGAAATGTTCATAGCTTATTACTCTATTGACTATGGAGATTTCCTAGTTTTTGAGTACGAGGGGAACTCCCTGTTTACTGTATTCATAATCGATAAGAGTTTTACGGAAGTAGGCTATCAATGGAATAACACTGAGGCTGCAGAGAGTAATCAAGAAGATAAGCTTGGGGATCATGAAGATGATGATGATGATGCCTCTGTTGAATTCATTGACATTAGGATCATGAAGATGATGCCTCTGTTGAATTCATTGACATTTCGTCTGGCTCACAAGAAACAGGAAAGGAGACCAAAGGGAAGGAAAAACTAGGTTGTTCAAGAAATTCTGAAGGTTAAATAAATCATATTGCATTGTTTTCCTCTTTCTAGTTTTCTTGGTTAAAAACAAGTAGCTTCTGTCACATTCTTAATCTGCTTGCTTTCTCATGTATCTGTTTAAGTTTTGACTTGATATTTTATTGAACAGAACATGAAGGTGATCATGGAGGAAGGCCTGCTGAAAACAAATGTCATCCAAGTGGGACACCATTGGTAATTTCCTGTTATTTTACCTAGCTCTCTTTAACATGTGACTTCTTGCCTCTCAAACTTTGAAATTAGTAAGGTTGTTTGTTGTCGCCCCCCCCAAAAAGTCCATTTTTTCATCGTAATTTCAAAGCAATAAGAACTCGCCTAAAGTTAAGGAAGATTAGATATCTTTTCCAAATGAAAACGAGTGGCAAATAGTTTATCTTTGATCCAAAGCAATAGAATATTATCTGCTGCATCATGACAAAGCGAAATCTCTAGTACAGAGTGCAGCCAGAGACAGCCCTAGCTTCTACTTTACATGGACTGCGAAGTGTACCACAAAATCTGCCATTAAGAGAAAGGAAGAGTAGAATTACATCAAGCAAGCTTTCTAGTACTGTTTGACCTGTTCTGTGTGGAACCGTGTTGCCAATCAGTTTTTCTTTTGACTGTTACAGGAAAAAAAAAACGAATAAACAAACATAAACCCTAGATAATATCCAAGTAATGCTTGCAATTTCTTTTTCTGTGCCTGGCTCCTAAAGCTTCTCAACAAGACTTTCTGAGAAAGTTGAAAAAGAAAGAAGATTGTACTTGCAAGCATCTTATTTTGGCTTTACTGACAACCCTATTACTTTACCTTTGTTTCCCCTTAAGTTTGGTTAGGCATGCATTAGAAATGAAGAGGCATGATTTTTTGTATCATGGTAACATGTACCACACCTGCAACACTGAGAAGCTATAAACACGCTTTCATGCTGATCTTCTGCGGTGTTAAAAAAGCCGTTGTCTTTATCTGTCAAAATCTGCAGCAAATCTAGAAACAGAAATTTTTCATTTTATCGAAAGTGAACTGTCTCCACACAGGCTCGCAGATTTGATTCCTTTCTTTGTCTGTGGCGCAAACTTAAGTCTCATGATCAATCTGCAATGCTAATTTATGCGTAGATAAACAGGCAATGACCTCATTAAGTCTGTTAACTCCATACTTAGCAAGAGAATAGAATCAGCTATGGTGTTGGCTTTTCATAGGACTAGGGATATGGACAAAACAAAGACTAGCCGAGTACTCTTTGTTTCATTGAGAGACAAACTTATTTCGATTGATTTTTCAGAGATACAAATTTTTCAGAGAATAGAATATTATCTGCTAATTCAATCTAAGCAGAATGAGGTTTGGACTTGTCAAAAATCCTTATGGTTGGTCTGTTAAATCTTGGTGTTGCTTACATTAACAGTCTAGTACTGTTTTGTTACTTGTGCTCGGCTTTGCATGCTAATTCTTTACTTGACAATCGATCTCACATTTCCAATTACTATAAAAGAGCTAGGTTCGAAGAAACTATGGAATGTGAGCTCGATCGAATGCAACAATGCTATATTGAAAAGCTCTTTTTATTTACAATTGCCATTGCTTTTATGATCTTTAGAGGATTTTTGTTAATGTAGCTGGATTTAAATCTCAGTAATTAATGACCATCTTCATATATTAGAGCATGGCAAATATTGTACAGGAGGCTATTGTTGCCTGTGTTCAATATTTAAGGCTGCCATGAATGCAGCAGCAAGTCTATTTATTCCTTCTCAGAGCTATCAAAAAGTTATGAATAACATATTAAGATCAAATACATGAGCCGCCTCGAAAACCGTTTTGTTATCTCCGACTAAATAATGCGATCTAATAGATGAAAATAGGATGGCAGTTGGGAGGTCTGGTCCGATGTCGTAGAAGAGCTTCTGGCTCTTGACCACCCGAATCTGATAATTAAGATGCTTGTGCTTCAATAGATAAGAATCAAGATTCTCTATAGACCTTTTTTATGAATATTCTTTGGTTTGCGAGTAAACTCTGGCGCAGGATTGGAAACAACGCTTCATTGTAAGAAATCAGGTCGTTTTTTGATAAAATCTTGGATCTTTTTGACATGAGAACCACCGCTGAGTTCTTGCAGGAGACACGACGCTATCTGACCAGAGACAACTTATTTCGGCTGTGATTTTTAAGATATACGACGCTATCTGACCAGAGACAACTTATTTCGGCTGTGATTTTTAAGATATACGACGCTAGACCAAAAAACCACCGTTGAAATTAAGAAGCAAGTTCCCTATCTTACCATCTATATATAAAGCAAAGGCGATTCATCTCAGGCAAGTTTGACACTTGCGTTTTTCTTTCAGCAGTTGGTTTTCCCACAGCATTAAACATTTCAAGGGAAGCAATGCTATCCAACATAACAGGTCTGATTTAAGGGTTAAGCATTAAAAAAAAAATTAAGAACAAATCCATGAACATAATTTCATCTCTTAAAAAACAATATAGCTAGTTCAGGAAAGGGGTGACATTTCTAAGCATTCCAAAAACATAGCGGTAGTTTAGAACTAGCTTAATAGAGGCGGACTGGGGTACCCATGGTACTCTTTAGGTGCAGCGACTTCACCTGATTTACAGCAAAAGACATAAAATAGGTTCAGAAAACAGTCATCGGTGCTAGAAAGAAGTCGCAACGAGTTTAAAAAGAAGAAACTCACATTTTGCCAGTTTTTCTTCAACAAGGAGACCAGGAAGTTCACAGACATTTGAACATTCTGGAAGATCTGCTTATCCTCCATGTCGCAGTTACCAACAGCAACACCCATGCAAAGGACTTTCTTTAATTGAAACTTCACGGTTGCCTTGATCTCATTAACTTTAGACTCCAGTGACTCTTGGTGAGTCACGAGGGTAGGAAACTTTCCTGCATTAACATATAAATCGGCAGAAACCATGAGAAACTACCATATCCAAAAGACAGATACTACTCTTAATAAACTTGCCTGCCTTGTTGAGACCAGGGCCTAAAAGCCGAGGAATCTGCTTGATGACAGACTCTGATGCCAAAAAGGCATGGTACTGCTTGGAAAGCTTCTTGACCAATTTCTTGTTCTTGTTCAGCTTCTTCAATGCTTCAACATCCATCCATTGCAAACCTATAGAATTTGCCTGCAAATATAAATTAAACATTTAATCCTATTAAAAATTCCATTACAAGTGATAAAAATTCAGACTCAAAGTTTGTAGAAAGCATTTAATGGCCCCAGCAATACATCTCGCAGGCACAAGACATAACTACAACCACCTGATTTCATAGTATAGGAAACATGATTTGAAAACAAACAAGTCAAATATACTATTTTGGCAGCAAAAACAGAGAACATTAAATAGAAACCAAAACTGAAACCTCGTCAATGATTAAAGAACTTCTTGTAATCTATGTATAATTATGAATAGAATGAACAATTACCTCCTCCACATGCTGAGCATCTCCAAGCATGCAGACCTTCATTTTGGGACGCGGTATGTGCGGCAACTTAACAGAGCCACTGAACCTCTTGTCCTTCTGGGGGTCATAGTTTTTCAATCCAATCTGTAGTTCGATGGTCTGGACAAACTTGCGGGGCTTCTCATTCACACCATTTTTTATAGTTGTAACAGCTTCGCGAATTGTATCCCCTGCAAGCTTACTGCAGTAGCAAAATATACAACATTCATATGATGAAATGTAACACCAATCACTCCCTGGCTCAACCAATGATGTTTCAGGTGATTTTTTTTTAATCTAGTTTACGCTTCATAACCGAGAAATCAGTCAAGTAAAAGCAATCGGGACCAAGTTCAGGCAGAAAAGGATCAAAACTTCACTTTATTATATAAATCCAAAGTAATTATATAAAACTAACCAAACAAATTTCCCATTTTAACATATAGATGAACAAAAGAACCTTTCAAATTATACTAAAATTCTTCAAAAACCAAGAACCCATAACCCCACATCATATTTCCTTGCATTCCATGAAAACAAAACAGTGATAATGAAATTACTTCCAAAACATGAAAAACTCAAGAAACCTCCAAAATGACATGAAAATAAAACAACTAAAGATTTTGAGCATACCTCATGATTGAAACCTCTTAAAGCAACCCTCTTCAGAGTTTTGTCCTGCAAATTCAACAGGAAAAAAAAACATTAAAGCTAAAAAAAGAAGAAGAAATAACCCATGCTTGAACTCAAATCTAACCTGTTGAATCGAAAGAAAACCCACCAAAGAACAAAAATGGAGGAACTTGGAGAAGAGAAGGCAACGGCTATAGAGTGTGCAAAATGTTTTGGAGAGGTATTTGAACCAAGTGAACTCGAGCGAACATTTTAGACTTGATCTAATTTTTAAAATACATAATTTGTGAAATCTTAGACCCAATTCAATTAAACAATTTAATTCTTAATAAATTTGATTTTAAATGATGAAATCATGAAAAAATATTAATAAAAAAAACTTGTAAAAATAAGAAAAATAACAACAAAAAAATGAGGATAAATTTTGATAAGAAAAAACTATAGGATGATGAAATTTGAAAAATAAAATAAAAATGATCCTAAATAAAATAATAGTAATTAAAAAAATAAAGATTAAATTTGAAATATTATAAATTCATAAAAGGATGAAATTGGAAAATATTTATAATTCAATGGACTATTTATAGATTAAAAAAATGATATAGGTAAAATTAAAATATATATATATATAGGGGGCTAACCTAATATAAGACAAATCATAAAAAATAACAAAACAAAATAATAAAAAATAAGGTGAAACTAAAAAAAAAATTTAAAAAACAATTCATATTAAATCAGGTGAATTTTTTAAAAAAAAAACAATTCATATTAAATCAGGTGAATTTGAAAACCTTATCATTATGGGTATAAGATTGAGATAATTTCATAAAAAAAATAAAAAAATAAAGTTTGAAGAATGAAATTA